CAAGAGTTGAGAGGTACCAATTATTACCTGGCTCGACGAGCTTGCTCCAGCTTCATCATTGAGTGAGACTTGTAATAGGTACTACTAAGGGAACGGAAGTGCAAAAGCCTCGCCCCTCCCTCGTCGGTGAACTGCTCCCTTGCATCTGCATATCTAAATTAATTAAAGATAATTTTCAGATAAATCGTGTCCTTTCTGTTTCCTGGTATGTGCTTCAATGCAATCGCGAAGGCGTCACATCGAAAGAAAGCACCCCGAGAAATTGAATGACCTCGAAGTCGATACGCATGGTTATGTGAAAGTTGTTACTGTAAGTATTCTTATGTAGGATTGTTCGATTTCTGAGTAGAACCGCTCTTAACCGCATTCTTTCAGCCTGCCCTACCGTATGCGTGCGATATTTGCTCGAAGACCTTCGCTTCTCATGCCTCCATGATTACACATAAGAAAAGAATTCATGAAAATAAGAATAATCATGAGTGTACCACGTGTGGAAGGAGGTATGTTCGGTTTTATCAGGCTGCGTTCATACTTTGCATTAGCGTTTTGAGCGTGCGACAGCGTATGAGCGTTTCGAGCGACAGCGAAAGACGTTCAAAAAGCCCGCGTTCGCTCATAACGTCAGGTCGATGTCTGCCTTTTCCTAGTAGCGGAAGTGTTGGCGAACGCTTCGGAACGCTTTGAAACTGACGCAAAGTATGGACGCATTCTTAGCAATGATGTCTTCAAAATTCAGTCATTTTTCAGCTATCCACTAGCCAGCGAGCTCCGAAAGCACATAAAACGAGTACATGAGAAGGATTTGGACTACGTGATATCGCAGAAGGTGGCGCTGTCCGGCTAACAAAGAACTTGTGTTTCTAGGCGTAGTTGAAAGCAGTGGGCAGGATTGCTGGGACGGGCGGTTATTGCTAGCGTCATTGGTAGAAGGGCTGCAAGAGGGCCGTTTAGCCACACCCAGTCAGCCGTTCCACCGGTGACACTGATGCCCCAGCGATTGTGTCCACTGCCTTCAGGATGACTTTATGTGATTCCTTTCGGGTTTCGGTTCCGTCGGTGCTCAGATGTTGTCGGTGTGTAACATTTTGATTAGGGTTTCACGGGGTATTCTTTCTGATTTTCACTTTGAAATTGCTCGCTCGTCGGGCTTGTTTTACCTCGGCAGTTTGCTTTCGTTGAAGTTGACATATTCTACTAACCTTCCCCACCAAAGATGCTTATTCAAAGAGGCCATTTGTTTTAGTGTCATCTAACTAATAAGCTGAAGTTTTTTTGAGTAGGTTGTAGATTAACTTGTTCTTTTATGTTGTTATTGTACATATGTTTTGTTTACTAATAAACTTAATAACTAGCTGATTTTTGTTTTATGTGACGTTACACAACGTGTCCCTTCTCTTTGCGTGGAGGAAGGATTACGATTTTTAGTGGTGATCGGACTGTACTTATCCATTCCGTGTGGTAACTTTCGGGCGGGCGGACAAAGCACGCAATTAGAGTGCGTTCATAATTAGCGTCAGCGCTTTGAGCGTACGGCAGCGTTCTGAGCGACGAGGAAGTAGGGGTACGGTTGCGAGTGTGCCAGCGTACTGCTGGGTTACTGCCTCAAAAACGGCGGGTCATACCCGTACTTTCTTCTAGTCGCTCGGAACGCTGGAGTTACGCTGAGAAGCCGTGGATTTATCCTAGTACGTTTCCTAGTTGTTGAAAAACGCCACGAGGGAGCAGAGCGTATACGCTCAAACGCTGACGGCGAAGTAGATCATCCTAGATCATTGGGTAAACAAGCCTGTCTAATATGTATTGGAAGCTGTTTTGTTGTTGCCTTCTGACTTTACTAGTGAGAGCACTTGAAAATTAACCTGGACAAGGAAAGATAGGTTTTTTTTTAATTTTTGCATTTTTTCGGTCCTACTCGGGGCTCTGTACTTCACTCACACAAATACCCATACCAGAACGATAAGACTGATTGTATCCGAATCTTTGAGGGAACTTGTTGGCTTACTCACCCTTTTCTAGCAGTGATCACGATAGGTAGGCTCGCCTGCCATTGGGAAAGATTTCGTTGAAATAGAGGCTCGCCCATAGACATCCTCTGATACGATTTCCTTCTCTCTCTCTCGTCTCTTCACTCATCCAGTCTCTCTCTCTCTCTCTCTCTCTCTCTCTCTCTCTCTCTCTCTCTCTCTCTCTCTCTCTCTCTCTCTCTCTATCTCTATCTCTATCTCTATCTCTCCCTCCTCCTCTGCTGCCTCTTTAAGCCTTGTTCCTCATCCCTCATCCTACGGGCACAAACTGCCATTGGGGAAAACTTCTGCAAAGTAAACCTTCCCCACCCAGGAACATGTTCCTCCTCTGGTATGACTCCCCCCCCCCACCCCCTAGTGTTCCCCATCCCACATGCTACCTACCATCTTGCTAGATACTCCCCAACTTACAATACAATTACATTTTGTCCTGTTTTCTCCCTCCCCCTGAAACCGCGCGTCGAGTGGATGGGGTTGAGTAAAGCGCAGCGGTTGTTGACTTTTCTTGGTTTTTTTTCCGAAAAAAGTCGAGAAAAAATTCGAGAAAAATTCAACCCAGTCCCCTCCTGCCACTCCAGCGCAATGACCCCCTCGCTGGGGATCCCAGCGTACGACGTGCCTGATGACCGACTCTGCGGAACAGTCTTCTCATTCAGAGATTTTAGTCCCACATGCTGAACAATTTCTGGACAATTGTTGTTTACCATGGAACGATTACGTGGACATGAGTATTACTGTTTACTTCGAGTGTTGCTATGGTGACGTTAATATCTTAAGGCACAATCCACTATCAGCAGAAAGCTACAATCTCATCCGTGTGTGAGGGGTAGGCTCACAACCGCTGCAATACTGCTACTTTTGCCAGTCAAAAGTGCGTGGCAAAGACGCCACAGGCTGGTGACTTGGGCCTGACCACGCCTCTTTTGAGCGGAGTGCTTAGTACTGCCGCATGGAGAATTGGGTATCACACGTTCGAGCTCTCTCCCCCTTGTCTGGACTCTCCTTCGGACATTCAGTGTTTCTTCGCTGCGCGACCGATGTTGCTCTGAATACTGTACTGAGAACTTCACAAAAAAGCGAATGCAATTTTTATTTGGCGCGTTAGCGTAGTAACTAGAACGAAGGCTCATACAATGAGTACAACCGTACTGGTGAGATCGAAATTCGATAACTGTGATGATTATGATGATAAGGAAAATGATATGAATGGTGAGATGATTGTGAAGGAATGTAATGGGTGGAAAAGCTGTCCGACTAGAATGAAGGTGAGGTGCAGTGGGCGACATGGGAACATGCCTATATTTCTAGAGATATGGACGAAGCTGAGCAAGATAATGTCTTCAGAAAGGCTGAAGACGAAAATGGGCTACCAACGGGTCGCTTAGAAGTTGGCGACGTTGGGAGAACTTCTAGTGACGCTGGAGAATCGGAATGCACGCACAACATTGCAGAGACGACGTCGAGCAGCAGCAGCTCCGAGACGAGCCGTCAGACGGAAGTCGCGCTCCCGCGATGGAGATCGAGCTCGATCTGAAGAAGTGTACGTCATCATAATTCGTAGAAACAGTAGCCATCAAAGCTTACCTGGTGGTGTGGTGGCGAGATCTTTGCTTACAGGATCGGTATTGTGGCCTGTTGAACTGGCAGCTTCCTTGGATTCGTTCTCATCCGAGGGACAAGAACTTGTCGATGGACAAGCAGAATCAGCTGGAAAGAACTGCTGTTGTCGAGAGCTTCGACCCAACGAGAACGGCCATGAACCGCTCCGTTGCGAACAGACTTTGGCTGACAGCGAATCTAAACAGCGAATGGAAGGTTAAAGGCACTGTCCACGGTGATTGTGTGGGCGGAGTCAGGCCTTCTTGTGCCCTCGCCGCTGCCACTCAGGTGTATCATCGCTGCGTGTGAAATTTTTTAAGCAGACCACCGTACGTTGGGGAATCCCCAGCTGGGGTGGGTCGTATCTGGTCGCTGGGGCAGTCATCTTGGTCTGAGAGAACTTTTTTGGTAGTTGGTTCTTCTTGTTTCGCGACCGGTTGTATTTCGTTGTTAGGAGAGGGTTGTATTTGCCATAGTTCTACGCAACTACTATTTTTGATAGTTGAATCAAATCGGTTGCTGATGACCCCGTCCGCCTCTTCACCCCTTCGCTAGATGGCAAAATTCACTGGAAAAACTGCAAAATTTTCGGGAAATTTCAGAAAAACTGGAATCGGTAGAAAGTTGGGAAAATCCAGGGAGGTGATAGATAGGATGGGGAAGGGAGGAGGTTCAGATTAGGGAATTAGGGTGAGGGTCGTATTTTCCGAAAATTTTCCCCCAAGGGCGGGACGTGCCTTGTTCCAAAGTGCGACTCCCCTAATGGTGTCGATGGGTTTCTATGAAGAGCCGACCAGTTCCCAGAATATTAGAATACTAGTCGCGCCGTCGGTCGCGCAGAATTGGGGCCTATTCCAGTAGGGCACCATGGTAGGCATGACCCGCCCATATTGCCAGCGTGGACTGTGCCTTTAGAAGCAGATTGAAGAGGACTATTTGGTGCTGTTCGGCTTGGAGAGCGGCGTTTCCTGCAGATTTTTTTTTGAATTACAGGTCGGTCTTGGTAAGAGACTTTGTAGTCTCTGTTGGAAGAAGCGATTGCGAAACTTTCGAAGATTTCCGCGTCTCCAAAGCGAGCTATCGGAAGTGGCCGATGGAACAGTAAGTAATGCCCCTCGCAAGCTTAACAAACATCCGAGATCTTCTTACTTGAACACCTACCTTTTCCGTTGGAATGGCTTCCTGGAGATGGACAATTTCGCTGACCCTCTTCAGCTGTTGCCGGGAACGGCGACATCAGCTGATGATCACTGCTGAAAATCGTTATCCTTGAATACAAGCCACAATTCAGGGGGGGTGTTGCCCACGACCGTCACAAACCTTTCAGTTCTCGATAGATGGTTCAGGAATCGGTCCAGACGATCCGGATCCGTGTCGCGCAGTTTGTTGTAGATATTACACTGCAGTTCTTTCGGTATCTAAAAATTGAAATTGAGAGGTTATTATGGGAATCTGAGATGAAGGGCCCTTACCCTGAACACTTCTTCGACGTGGGCAATCATCGTCTCCACAATGGCAATTTGCTGTTCGTTCTCTGCAAGTGTCGCATGAAGTTTGCCATGATCAGGTCGTAAAATGGATGGAGCAAAAATGGTCGCCAGATTTCGCGCATCCATTCGATTTCCTTGTACCTAAACGAACAGTTTAGGAGCGTTCTAGGCTTGAATCTACAGTCCACATCAGACAGATGGGCGGTGAGCCCTTCTGTTTTAGATGAAGCGGCGCAGGCATAAGTCAGGCAGACAGAAGCGATGCGCCTGCCCACTTCTGACCCCATGCGTTCATGGCGGAATGTGACTTTAAGTTCATTTTGTAATGTTGTAATGTGCGCAATGTCTCACCTCCACACCAGTGTGGGAGTGATCGTGACAATGCAGAGATACTTCATGCAAGAACTTGAGTAGCACGTAAAGAGTGTCGATGTTAGGTGGTCCCAGCAGCGAAACAAGCAGTCGAACAACATCAATGCGTTCGTCTAGCGGAATCCCTGAATCAAACAGCATCATAGCATTGGCTCTCAAAGCAGCTACTGAAGCTACTGGTAGACTCACTAAAGGCGGCCTGATGTAGGCCTAGTATAGTGTTCCCGTGTGGTAAAGAGACTGCGGTAAATCGCGAAAGTACTCCTTCAGAAGTGTGGCCACGTCATGTGCTGTGGTATTCTCGACAAGATCGTTGCTGATCGCCATGGAGCCACCCAGGCCTAAATCACTTACCATTCAACTACATTTTAGTATATAGAAACTGTTAGGAATGGGAGAGTTGAGTGGAAGACCAGGAACGAAGGTGAAAGCGGACTTAAAGACACAGTCTACGCCGATCGCGCGTGCGGAGTTAGGCAAATCATAGAGTCTACACGATCGGCGCAGACTGTGCCTTTCACTCTGTATTCCGTACATGACTAAAGGTTCAATGTGGGATAGCCAATAAGCCCAATAATAGGCCCAATAATATGCCTGACTCCGCCCATACGTTCAGCGCAAACTGACGTGGAAGCATACAACCCCACCATTTCTCGTAGAGAATTTCATTACACGCTCCCTCCTTTCTGTTTCGTACATATTCATAGCAGTTTGCAAAGGGAAACAGCGCAACTCCTATCGTAATAATTTTCTTTCATTTCCAGGTATCCAGTTTTTTGACTTGCAGAATAACTAGGCAAAAAGTAGACTATCGGTGGACGCGCTATGACGCGAATATGCTACAGTTAATATCGGCGGAGCTGTGTTAAAAGGCCTGGACCCACTCGTGGCATTTCCACCATTGGTTATTTTCTTCCTGAATCGATCAATAACCGATCCCTATTGGTAGAGAAGACAGGTGGAGGCGGTTTCGTTACGTCCCACCTGACACCGCCCCGACTGATTGCGACGATATCAGTTATACGTCTTGCCTTGACACCTCTCCCACTGTCTTAGAAAGGTTACATACGCTACCACTCCAGTTCTTTTAGTCGGTGGGATAGCGTAGCCAAGCTACCACAACGTGGAATTGTCGCGCCACCGCTTCCTCCCCCCTCCCCCTCCCTCTTGCCTTCTAGCGATCTTTACATCACGAAATCACCTTCTCTAGAGCTGTTTTGAGCAGGCGACATCGTTTCGTATTTCCTGCGATGCGGAACAAACCAACAGTGTTGAGTCCTGAAATGAAATAGCTTATATCTCTCTGCTAAACGGATGCCTACTAGCATTTAATAGTACCGTAGGCCATCAGGTACTGCGTGCAGTTCTCGACGATTCGTGGGACTTGCAGTGCATGTGGTTCGACGTCGTCTGCCGGTTGCGCGTCCATAGAATAGGTGAATGAAGCAGACGACGGACGCTGTTTCTTGAGAAATCGACCCTGAAATCGGCGAGCGTGCTCAGAAAGTCAAATCAACCGGAACCAGCAAGGACTCAGCAGAACCAAGCCTTATACCAATGAAGCC